AAACTTCTTTAATATAATTAGATATACAGTACATTATAAATTTGCCTAAAAATATTAAATCTCAGAAAAATATATTATATAAATATAAGTGCTTTCATGTCATTCATTCATTTAACAATGAAAATTTAATTTGCAAAGAATAGAGAATTACATATTTTTAAAAAAATATTTTTTTTTTTTGGTTGATATATTAGGATTTAAATGTTAAACATATAATAAAGTATACATACAAAAAAATACAATGAATAGTATATAGAGATTTATTATAACTTTATTCAATAACGGTTTATCAGTTTTATTAAAAATTATAACTAAATAAAAAAAAATTGTCTACAAAAATAGTTATTACATATTGATGTTTAAGTTTGACTATTAATTTTTTTTATATTATATTCATATTGGATTTACTTTAAAAAAAATTATTTTATCAATAATAATAATATTGAATACATCCACATAAGTGTTCTTGAAATACATTTTTGTTTAATATAATGTTTAGAAACAGTAAATATACAGTATTTATTTACAGACTATCCATAAAACATTGCATATTTTACAATTACAAACAACAAATATTTTTTTTTATACTTTATTTTATACTTTTCAACAACAAAAATAAGTATTGACTATTTTATTATTCCATAATACATAATATCATTCATAATATAAATGTATGAAAAAATTTTATAAAATAAAAAAAGGTAAACAAAAAATAAAGAGAAAAAAGAAATAGTTTATAGTTTATTGAAAAGAAAAAAATCTAAGAGATTTTTATCTGTTTTTTTTAACGAAAAGAATATCTAATCAAATCTCATGAGAGTATAAAATATCAATTCATACACTAATGACAAATATTGACTGAAAGCTTATGCTATCATCAAAACAGATATATAGTGTATCAATATATATATATATATATATATATATATATACTGTATATTTATGTCTACCTATCTGTATATATTATATTACATAACATATCATAGCATATATACAGTAGTATATATACTCTACTTATAGATACATTGAAAATAATAAACTTTGGCAAAATATTCAGAAAAAATATATATTATTCAACATTTATTGTAAGTATTGAATGCATCAAAATAATAGATACTTTATATAATATAATTTGCATCACTTGTATATCATATAAAAACGCAATGTTTGCCAGAAAATAATGAGGATATATACTGTATATATATATTATATATATATTTGCCACTAAATTTCATATTATTTTGTATTTAAACACATATTCATACAAAACATTTTTCACACACAAACATAAAGACGTTGTGTTTAGCGCATAGAATATTCTGGTGATTGCATAACAAACATAAACGCTATAAAAATACAAATACTGTACATTCAATTGTATTCTAAAATTTAATTTAAATTATTTAGTATTTGGATAAAATTATTTTTGTTATCACGTCTATTGTAAAATTGTAAAAACAAATTTTTCAATAGAAATTTATGCCTAAAATCAAAACATTTCAACTACTATTCTCATGTTATTATGTTTAGCATTAAAATGATATAATTAAAAATTTGATATGTTTGAAATTTTATAAACTTTATCAGTATAATTTGCAAGTGATTTTGACATGATAATAAACAATTATGCAAATATTGAAAATATATATTTTCAATAATAATAATAATACTTATTTTAAATATGATCTTAAATTAAATGTCACTATTATTATAATAATATAAAGATGGAATCAAAATTTTCTATTAAAATGTAAATAAATTATAATTATAAATTTAAATAATAATTTACATTTCACAATAATTATATATTTTATGTTAATTAGATATTAAAATCGATATAATTTTGATATAAACTTATTTTTATCACCTTTTTATTGTATCATCATCAAACACAAATAAAAATAATTTATAACAATATTATCAATTTATTATTATTATTATTATATATTGTTAATTGACAATTAATAAAACATCAATTTAATCTAAAAAATAATTAAAGTGTTATTTTTAAAAGTGAAATTCATTACACATTTGTTAGTTATATATATTTTATTGCATAATTTTATAAAACAAATTAGTAATTTAAAATTGACATTACTAATTTTTCAAATTTTGAAATTAATTTAATTATAGAAATGCTTGAATAAATGTGAATATTCTTGATTGTAATTTTCAACAAAAATAATTCATGAGTGTGTCTAAAATATTTATGACAATAAACTAATTACTAAATAATAGTTTACCGGAAAAAAGTGTTTCATTATTTGTCAAATAATATATATATATAAATATATGATATAAAGTTGTCAATACTATGGCCTAAAACAAAACAATATTTGTTTTAAAAAATGAAATAACAAACATCTTGAATACTCTATTATTATTATAGAAAATCAAATAAATATAATTTAAACATTTAAGTAAAGTAAACAAAAATTATATATAATATACAGTATTATTGTCAACAACAACAAAAATCAAATAAATGATAAATATTTTATTAAATGTCAACACTAAACACATAAACAATTTTCTATTTGTAATACATTTGATTTTTTTTGAATATAAGATTATTTGTTACGACTTGTAAAATTGAAATACATTTACTGCATAAGTTATTAGGCAATGTTATTATTATTTGCCAGAAAAAAATCATAATATAAAATAAATCCGCTTTTATACACAAAAAATAGTTAACTAATATGTTGTGATTGAATTAAATTCTTATTATTCTTGAAACGGTAGTATTGTTGTGTATATAAGATTCTGTAAACACAATAATCTTATATAAAAAAATCTTATCATATAAAATATATTTTTTTACATAGAAAAAGTCAACATTTATAAAAAAAAGATAAAACACATAAATTTTTATCAAACAAATTTTAGTGTCTTTTTTATTTCAAGTCTACGCACATACAAAAAAAATCTGATAAGAGTCGACAATACATATAAAAGTAGACTAAACACTAATAAATAGCTAATGATGTCGACAAACATTTCTACTCAATCTTCGATCTCTTATTTTAAACTTATAATGATATACAGGTATTGTATATACAGTATATATGATATATATATAAATAAATGAAATGACTTACAATCAATATATATATAAAAAGAGACAACAAATATAATTTCTTACAATTCTTAGAGTAATTTGATATAACATGGATTACATATCAACTGTAGACTAATAAAAATTATAATTTATATGATAGATTCAATAGATTTAATTAACAAATAAAATAAATTTGATACTATACTCACTAATAAGACTAAATTCATATACAATAACACACACACATAATATATAGTACTGTTTAAACGGCAAATTTAATAGCAACAAATGGCTAACAAATTTTATTAGCATCATATCATGTATGAGTTTTATATACAGGTAGAAAAACCTAATGTATAAATTATAAATGAAATCAATTTGTAGTCCTAGAAAAAGCACAGATGATATAAATGACAGCTTAATAAATTTATAATACATACACACTCATAATATACAGTATAGTATAGTAAAATAATAGTATAGTACGGTATGTTTGGAAATAAAGTGCTAACAAAATAGACAATTTTTTTCGGAGTAAACACTAGAGCTATGTTACGTAATATTATAAATAAAAAATAGTTTCTCTCCAGTCATATAATAATAATATATATTTTCTAATATAACGCAAGTTATCTTTAATATCTAACAGTATTTAATAATAAAATGAAAATATTATTATTTTTTTTTAAAGAAAAACACATTTTCAGTTCCATTTGTTGTTATTAAAAATGTATAATAATAACAGTATATATTGTGTAATAACTGATACTTTAGATAAAAATGTAATATAAAATTTAATAAATATCAATTTTTAAAACTATTATAAATCTCTATTTTTTAAAACTGATTTTAGCCACAAAAAAATCTAAATTATTACATTACTGGAGACAAAATGAGATATCAGCTTAAGTAGATAGAAATGATAAAATCAATAAATATATTACTATACTACTAAATATTATATATATATAATACTAAAAATCTTCAAATCAATAGATTATAAACAATGTTTCCGACATTAATCTCAAAATAAAACAACAAATTAATTGATAAAGGATTAGCTTTAAGTTTTGAGAACCTCTAACATTTCAACAACAAAATAAAATAATAAAAACGTAAAGCAAATACAATATATACCGTATTTATATACAATATAAATATTTAGGCTTTAAATGTAAGGTTCATAACAAATATGTGATTCAAAATAATAATTAAAAAATGCTTATATAGATTGAGTTTTTAATTCCCGATAATGAGTCTCTTTTATATATTTATGGATAAATGAAAATCAATTAAAAAAAATCTGGAGTCATATTTTTGTGATATTAAAAAAATCAGATTAAGATTATAACAATTTTATTTCAAATATCACCAATTGAACAAAAAATATGCCTGCGCACATTTCAGTTTGTTGCCCTAAATCACATTAATATTAACATTAATATTGTATTCAAGCATTGATCGATTTATGCAGTGAACACCTGTGATGAATATAACTATACTATTGATAACAGCAAAGTTTAGGTATAGTTTGAAAATAAAGATCAGCGCAGGTCGGGCTACCATACATACACAAATAGACACACACACACACACACACACACACACACACACACACACACACATACATACACACACACACACATAAATAGCTGAGCCCTTAATGGAAATTGCACTAAAAGCATCTCAATCAAATATACAGAATATATATATACCTGTTTGCTTTCTAAGTATAAATGTATTAAAAAATAAACAATACATGTTAATGGCATATAATCACAGTTAAATAAATAATAGATGTTTGATATAAATACTCATTAGTTTTATAATATATTTATTTAAATTATATAAATATTTTTTCCTCTCTCTCTCTCTCTCTCTCTCTCTCTCTCTCTCTCTCTCTCTCTCTCTCTAATAAATGTATGAATAGATGACTCACTTTGTCGTTGGTATCCAAGAGTTCGAGCAGAAGTGCGACAAATGCGTCGATAGTCATGGCTTTGGTCTCGTATTCGTTCTTATAATAGGCAAGTGTTATGCGTTCGTTGTCTTTGAGATATTTGTGGCACAACTCGTCTAAAATGTCTTCATCGCAGTCATCGTTATCAGTAATCACAAGCGTTGGTGTAGAGCGCGGTCCGCCCGACGGACTGGTCCTGGACTGGGATGAGTGTCGGGTTCGACGCATCGAACACCTCGAGGACGGAATGTGTGCTGAGCTGAGGGTTGTCTGGTGGTCATTGAAGTCATAGGTCTTAACTAACTGAGCGCATGCAGAGGCCGGTGCTTTGCCAACAAATTTAACTTTCATTGTCAGTCTTGGCGACGATTTTAGTATATCGACCGCTTCGTCGTGCAGTACATCACGAAAGTCATAGTTATTGACGGTTAGTATCTGATCGCCGACCTGTCCGTCGAGTTTAATATACAGACAATAATTTATTGGTTATAAACCTAACTCTTAAAACTAAAATATTAATTCTTAACATTTATTGATTTAAAAGTTATCTATTTTTATTATTTCAATAAACTCTATATTATCTATACTATAAATTAATACAATTATTGAATACATAACACTACTCTATAAATGTATAATAATTATCTTTATATTCCTTCAACTATCAAAATATAATATTAATAATTATCAAAATATTTATGTTATTATAAAAGAGTATCATATAATATAATATGTTGACCACTATTGGTTAAATTACTAGATCGCATCATTAACTATTATTATATCTACAAATATTGATATATTTATATATTACTAACTATACTGTATGTATATACTGTATTAAGTCTATATATGAATAAAAGCCAAATAAAAACTAAAACCACTGAAAACATGACAAAAAACATGGACTCAGGAATAAGATAAATATATAATCAAATGGTGTGAATGTTAACATATAAAAGGAAATGAATTCCTATTGAATTGCATTAACCAAATGAAGTGTTAGACAAAAATAAAGCCAAAAGATTGGCTACAATTCAGACTATAACACAATAACTAATGCAGAAAAATGAGACCAAATGTATGGCAACAATGGTTAGTGTATCAGATATTTAGTACATAATGTATATAAGTAGAGATCGTTTATATTATATAAAAAGAAAGTGATAATCATTTATCTGTTAAGTTGGTTACTATCCGTCTCTCTCTCTCTCTCTCTCTCTCTCTCTCTCTCTCTTATTTGTCCGTCAATTACCTTAAGGCCAGCCTTTTCAGCCAACGAATTGGTGTCTATTCCGGTCACGTAAACGCCGAGTCCGTATTCAATGCCTCCTCTAATCATAAGACCCAAACTGATGCCTTTCTCCATATTTATTGTCACCTAATTGAAGACAAACACACAACAAATAGCAGATAAAAATATATTATAATTAAACAAATAGTTTTTAATGCTTGAATTTCGCTAAGCAAATAAAATGATTGCATTATTATTATAATTATATGAAAATGTTGTAATGTTTCTCTAAAATACGTTTTTATTTTAAGTTATTTGATTTGTAAATATTATTCATAAATCAATAATACTGTACAATCAATTTTACTGAATATTGAATTTACAAATTAATGCTATATATATTTCTACCTATATCTCAATGTCATTCACAAATATTTTACATGAATTGGTATTAATAAGTAAATTATAAATAATTTTCTACTTTATTTTAAAAGCATTTGATTACTATTTTCATGAAATATCATATATGGATAGTACAGTAAAAACATGATATATCTCTTAGGAATGCCAAATATCTGTACAAAATAAACTGTAAATGATATTTCATATATAAAAAGTATATATGAATAAACTACAAATCATAGAAAAATAAAAAAAAATATGATATGAAACAAACTTTTTTTTTATCATTTAGGAGACAAACAAAATGAAAAATTAATTCCCAAATGATTATCTCTGTAATATCTTTTACTTTATATATATATATATATATAGAATATATACTATATATATACTATATATTATATAGTTTTGTATATAGATACAGTTACTAATAAAATTGATGAACAAGGTTTATTACTTAAATATTTACAATTATTGTAAAAATTGAATTTTAATATTTTTATTTGTTGTACTTCGGGCACAGGTATGTAAGCACAGAGATGCATACCAAAAAATCTTGTTACCCTATAATAAATATTGTTGTTTCCGGTACCTAAAAATTTCTTATTATATTTCACAAAAAAAATATTTGAGACATTTTAAATTATTTTATAATATAATTGCATAATAATTTAATAAAATACTTGTCTCATAGACTGATTTAATGTTAATATTAGATAAAACTAAAAATATTTTTTTTGGGAAATTCTCAATACAAAAAAAACATTAATTTATAAAGTACTGTATTTCCTGATATCTAATATTAAATTGATGCAAAACTCACGTTTATCAGCTTTACTGTATTAAAGAGTAAATTAATATCATTAATATAAAAAATTATTACATTAAAGCATTAAATAAAAATCTTCAATATTGTATATAATTATTAGATACTGGATATAGTGATATAATTACAATTTATTGCTATTTATTTACTTTATTTGTGTGTTTGGTCATCAAATAAGACAATATTAGTGCAAAAAAAGAGAGCGACATAAAGATTGAAACATTTGAGACCAATGATTGCAATTAGTTTCCTAAGAAACACCATTTGAGAGACAATACAATATCTAAATGTTTAGGATTTGTGACTCAAATAAAGTAATTATTTGATAATATCATTTTAGTGCTATTATTATTATATTATATTCCAGTATTTTATTACAGAATATTCTGGTATATTATTTTTTATATATATATATATTGACAAATTGAAAAATATTATGTATACTATATTATTTGTCGAGACTATTCAATAATTGTAGTAATAATTGATAAAAACTCTATTTTATAGTTATAATAAAAAATTTATAGTAATTTATTTTTTTAAAAATATTTATAAAATCTCTCACAAATATAATAATTTCTACTAAAATTTCTCGTAAACATTGATTTCCAATTTTTGTAATCACATATTTGTTTCATGATTTTAGCCAATTAAATAAGACCAACAAATAAAATCATTTTATCATTCATAAAAACAGTGAAAAAACTCACGCAATAATATTATAATCTAAGAAAATATTTTATGTATCAAATGATTTATTTGTATGTTATTTTCTAATAATGATATATTAGTTTTATATTACTAGTATTAATCAATCAATTGGCTTTTTTCATATAAAATCGCCACATATATGATTATACTGTAGATTTACATTTGATAAAATGCTGATAATAATAATAATCTTATATATATATATCGCATATAGTGTTAACACTAGTACTTACTTGTCGGACATCATTGACAGCACTGTTATGGGATTTACGGCGAAACGGACTCGTATTTAATTGTCTGTCCATTAGTGTCGTGTCGCCAATGATAGGTCTATCGGGCGGCGGCGGTGATGTGGGTCTGCCATCCACGTCGATCCACGCGTAACAATGGTGTCGACGCTGATGTGTTAGTGCTTCGTGTCGGGGACAGATATTTAATAATAGACAATCATTATCGATGATGATCCGCATGGCCTGTTTGCAAGTCATGCCATCTAAAAAGGACGTATAGTTTGCCGATAATATTTGATCTCCCGGTCTGAGACCACACTTTTCAGTCAAACTGTCCTCTTGTATGCGGGATATGTATATCCCCTGTAGGCCTATAAATGGTCACAACCAAACAAAGTTCATTAATAATACATATGTTTTTTTATAATCTATATTACAAAACAGTTCAATACACTAATGGTTAAAATGTTTATATTATAAATTAATGTTTAATTAGTATAATTAGTTACAATAATAATAAATTTTAAAATTAGGCTTTCATTCAACTCTTATGCAATGCGTGTGTAATATTAATAATGATTATTGAACTCGTGATATAGATTTTTACATTAAATACTAAGTAATACATTTAAATACATTTTCTATAATAATCATTAGTTTTTATGTGATTATAGAAATCGTAATATTTGATTTTATCATTTTAAAAATAAGATACTTAAGAAATTAACAGATATGGATAAAAAATTAATAATTATTTTTATATTTTGTAAAAATCATATATTAATTTTGGTATTATGGTATTTGCTTATGGTATTATTATTATTATTGTCAACTATAGACTTTTGCATATATTTTACTATACAATAATTTTTAATTATGATAATTGCATTACACCCAAAAAAAWATATTTTTTTTTGTTTTCAGTTTTATGATAAATTATCATTTGAATGACACCTACAGAATATTCTGGTGCTTATCATCATTGAGTTGCTTCGGCAACCATAAGCTGGTAAGCTATCAAATACTGTATTATATAATATTGTACTATACATATGCTAATTGCTATTAAATCTTAATTATATTCAGTAGTATTTCATATTTAATAAAAACAATATATATATATATAAATGTGATGCGATAAATGAAAAAATTTATCTTGCGTTAAATTTATATTAAAAAATTGAATATAAAGCGCTTATTTATAAAAAAAATATAATTAAAAAAATAAAATAATATTTAACACAAAAATATAACTAAAATAATAGAAACATTAAGATATAATCTTTTATAAAAATATCTAAATATTTTATGTTAGTTGTTATAGAAAAATACTATAAATGTTTATTTATTTCACTTATTTTTATTTTCTTGTTTTTTTAAAGAGAATGAAACATTTGTTTTAAATTTAATGATTAAGTGTTTGAAATAAAACAAACAATTTTATAAAAATAGTGTGTTGTGTTGAAACAATTTAATTAATGATGTTTTAAAGTGTTTTGATATAAACAATAACATTCAACCAACAAGTATCGAGAATAATAAAAATAAAAACACTCTTCAATAAATGACTATAATTTCAATTTTGTTTTATATAGCATTAAAAACACATGAAGTGTTCAATGATTTATAAAATGGGTTTTTTGTTTTAAATTACATTTATTGAGATAAATGAGTGCTCAGAGAAACGCAACTATTTTTTATGTTTTTAAGAGATAAACATTAGGTGTTTGGATGTGACACACAAATGTCATGTCAATAGTAGTAGTAGTAGTAGTAGTAGTAGTAGTAGTAGTCATATACATTAAGACATACAGATTCTCTCTCAATGAGATAAAACTATTAAAATAGATGAATGTATTGCACGACACAACTTACCCACTTCAGGACCGCCGCATAATGTGATGCCAGCGTTGGGCTCGTCGTCGGCACCTTTGATGAGCCGAACCCTGTGTATCGAATGCTTGGAGTCATCGCCGGCCGAAAAATGTCTAATCAATGTCGGACTATCACACGATGAGACCGGCGATACCGATATGTTGCGATGGGTTGGACTGCCCGACACACAGGTGGTCGGCGAACTACGGTAATGGGTGAGCGGCGGCTTATGGTAGACACGTTTGGGCGCATCCGAGTAGACGTTTGAGTGATATGTGGGCATTGATACCGATGCCTGCACTGAGCCATGCGGTGGCGGTGGCGACGGCTTCTTAAGATTTCTTACACTACGGTGTGGCGACTGATTGGCGGCACAGTCCGATGAGTTGGCCCACATTGTCATCGAGTTTAACCAAACCCGACAGTGTTAGCGATATGTGTATGATATGTACAGTATATGAATATAATAAGGTTTTTATATAAATATAATAATTACAAACATTTAAACAAATATCATATGTTTTAAGATGAAACTAACTAAATGTAAACGCATTGTGTATATAATAATAATATAATGTTGTGTTTCAGTTATGATATGTCAAAGAATATTCTGTTTGTGTTTTGTATGTTATGTTTTCAAATAAAATACTGTTTGTATTGTTGACAACCAAAACACAATCAGCTCACAACTAACTGAGCACATGAATCGCATGAGCCATCTATCTCTCTCAGACAATCAATGATATTCTGGAGCATATCTATCGGTGCGCCTGTGCTCTCATGGCTTATATAGTCAGTCAATCTGTATTTTATAACATATAATAATTTAATATTTAAAAAATAACTAAATTTTTTGTTAATACAGATAACTCTTGCGCTTTAAAAATCATAAAATATTTTAAAAACATCACATATTTGTTTGCAACTTTTAGGAATATACCAAATAAAAAAATTATAGTACATAGAAATCATTTAAAACAAATATATTCAATAAAAGAAATATATTTACCTGGATAATATACGGTAGAATAATTCAAAAATTATATAATTTAAAAAATAATAATAATAAACTATATATAATATGTTATCTTATTGTAATTATAAAACATAACTTACTGGTACTTATGATAATGTATAACATTACAACTACTGTAATACCAACAATTGATAAATGTTGATCATAATATCAAATAATGATTATATAATAATTTATTTTTTTTATATAATATTATATATAGATATTGAAAATTAAATTAATGATTACGGTATACATTTTTGAATAAAACATTAGGGTAATAATATATAATAAATTTATAATATTCAATAGTTTATCATATTTACTGATATGTCGGGAGGGGGGGAAACTTGATTATAAAATGTGGTCAATTATTTATTGACTTAGTTTAAGACACAAATAACAATAATTGTTTGGACAGTTAGACTATGTGTGTGTATATATATAGATAATTAACTGCAAATACTGTTGATTTGTTTGTATATTTGTTGAGATACTGGTGTCTCACCAGAAGGTATAACCACCACTACTGCCTCCTTCGAAAAAGGATGACTTTTTCTGTCCGATCACTACATTGTTTCCTTGCATTGCAGCCAATTGTGCGGCATTGGGTGCCATACCGGGAGGCGGCGGCTATCGGACGGTGTCATTGAAAGCAAAACAAAAAACGATTACTTATTAAGTACTGTAACAAAACAAATACCAATTAACATAACTAAAAACAAGACTACTTACGGGAATGTTAGGTCTGGCCACACCATCAAAACGGGCGCCCGCATCGAAACCAGTTGGCATAACTACTGTCGAGTTTGGCGGTAGAGTTGGATACGGATTGTATTGATATTGACCAGTGCTTGGATACGCGTTAGTCGGATAGCCGTGCGTATAGTTGTACGGAGCGGCGGCGGGTGCGGCAGTGGGCGGCATATATTGGTAGCCATTGTATTTCATTTGTGTAGTATCAGCGTACGGAGTGTACGGAGGCGGCGGTCCCGACGGTATGGCCGTTGTTGACGGCGGAATGTATGGCTGGTTCTGGTAGTATGGCTGTGGAGCCGATGGCTGACCAGACAGTGGCGGGTAAAACGATTTGCCGTTTGCTGTCAAACAAACAAATTTAAACAAAACAAAATTATTTCAAATTCAATTGACAGTTATTATCATAAATATTGTAAACAAAATGGACAGTTATGTCAAAATAACTAACCGTCCATTTGATTGATTGATTGATTGATTATTGAAAAAACTAATACTAATTGTTTGACTAATTAAATATACGAAACAATTATTATTAATATTATTAATAATAATACGTATTATTGATGATTCAATTGACACCAAATATACTGTAATATTGTATTCAATAATAATGAGATCAATGAAAACATTTGGATTACATAAACACAATAATAAATTATTATTACTTTATTTCTATGCAATCAAATAGAGTATGCAATCTATCGGACAGAGTTTTAATTATTAAAAAATAATAGTTTTATTATTTAAATACATTTTTAATTTCAAATTAATTATAGTATTATTAATTAATTTATTTATTTATTTATAATTAATTATTTTATAGACTAAAATATAGAAATATATACTGTTTACTGATATTAACAAAAAATTTAATTGCTTTAACAAAATACAGTAATTAATTATTAATATAAAAAAATGGTTAATAAATTAACATTTTTTTGTCAAAATCTAATTAATAAAGTTAAAAAAATATAATTTACATAATTTACACAAAAAATATTGTAAATTAGTTTTCAAAAATTTTAAAAATTGTGTAAATAAATTATGTTATAATAATTAATTTTAACAATTACTGCTAAATATCGGTCATTATTACATTGTTACTACTATCACATTGTAATAGTTATATTAATACAAATATTAAATCTTTTAATAATAATAATTTTCATTTGTATAATATTTTTCATTTTGTATCTCTAAAAAAATATTATAACTTTTTCCTGTAAGAGTAGCGACTAAATTACTTTTGAAAATTTAATTGAATAAATAATATATGAGTTAATTAATAAAGTTTTTACTTAATTAATAAGATTAGTATAATAAAGCTGATATTTAAATATTTGATTTATTTATTTTTTATTAATTACAATTAACGTTTAAATTAAAGTTTAAATAGTATCAAATTTTAATATTATTAATTAATATTATAGTACTGATATTTAGTACTAACAATTATACTAAAGTACATAAAAATTATAACTAATTAAAAACTTTTATAATTATATAATAATTAGAGTTTATATTGAAAAATTATTAATCATAATAATAATAATAATAACAATATTTATTGATAATAATTAAATGAAATAAATGAAATTTATTAGACATTTGTTAATCGATTATAATATTAAAATAAATTTATAACCTTGATAATAATATTTTTTAAAACGAAAATATTGTTCAATTAACTATATTTGCATAAAAAAAGTGCAAACAGTAGTACATCACAAAAACAACAAATTAGTGATTACAATGAATTTCATACCTTTGAACATAAATTAATATTCAAATAAAACAATTATTTCTGTCTTTCAACTTGTAATACCAGTACTGAAAATTCAGTGAACAATGAGTTAAAAATCGTGAATACAATTAGCAATTAAATGGGAAACAAAACTTAAAAAGTCTATTCATTAGTACATTAAACACCACTCGATGTGAAAATAAAATCATTAATAATTTGTCAATTTGTTTAATTTTTAGCCAATAAAGTACATCAAAAAAATAAAATAACAATATATATATAAATATATATGAAAATTAAAATTACAATATTATTCATGTTTATATGAAACTAGCTAGTTTATTTATTGTGTTTTAAATTTATTGTATTTGACTAGAATATTAAACAATTTCTGATATTAGTTTTTTTTAAAAAGTTAATTTTATTTACTAAATAAAAATAAAATGTTTAAAATATTTTTATTAATACTTGTTTTGTCGTACATTTGCACCGATTATGGTATAAATATATTGAATTTAATAAACTGTTTAAATTCATGACATTTAAAATAACCTATTTGTGAATACAGTCAGATGTTTGCCGTCACGTAATGGACGTCAGATAGAAGTGGAATCGGGAAGTCAGTTGGATATACCCAATGATAATGAGATTCCCGGCAATCTGGACCCGAACCGGCCGTTTGTACCGCGCCGTGGAAGCGGATCATCGGATGGACTGCTCAATACTATTATGAGTTTTTTCCGCAATTTGTTGGGCGGCGGCGGTTCCGGTGGTGGTGGAGGACTGTTTGGCAATCGCGGCGGTAGTGACGGCGACAGCGGAATATTAGGTTTCATTAGACGAGCCTTTGGCGGTCTCATCGATAGAGTACTCGGTATATTTGGACAAAGAGGAGGTTCGGGCGGTTCGGGAGTTTTTGGAAATCCCAGTTCAGCGGAGTTTCCGTATACTAGGGGTACACAAAGGTTTCAGCCATTGAGAGCAAATTAAATGATTTATTTTTTAAAATAACATTATTTTTTGATAATTTTTCAATTTTTTTATTTAAATAATCAATTATTATAATGTATAGTATATTGAATAAACAGTATTATTTATAATTAATAGTATTATTTATAATTAATTATTAGTTTAAATTAATACTGTAATATTTTTATCATATCAATATTTAAAAAAATAAAATATCAAATTAAACATTAATTATTTGTTATACAAAAAATAGAGTAATTCAGAAATTAATATTGAGATTATTAATTACCAATAAATATAGTACTTATTCAAACTATTTCATTAAACAAAATTTAAATTACAATTAAGTAAAATAAAATTGTTAAATTAATAATGTTAATTGTATAGAAAATTAATATATATATAAACTAATAAACTAAAAAATTTAAATAGAGTATGATTTCATTAATATAAAAAATACAGTCTATTAAATACATTTGTGCCAATATTTATATATATATATATTGTACATATATGTCATGAATTGTTTGGTCACAAAATTTTTTTATTTGTCTCACGATTTGTTGACAAACATTTCCAGCGAAATACTGGCCGACAAAAACATTATATGAATGATAGCACAGAATAACGAGAATCTGGTGTATAGTTTCCATTTGCAGAGCTTCAGAGTCAACATAAATGCAAATATGATAACTAATAACACTATCGATGTATAGGGAAGTGCATTGCTTTCAATGGTGATAAAGGCCTGCGAATAGTCGCCCGAACTGTTCACCAATTGGACCAAACATTTCAATAGCCACGGAAGTCCCAGACCGACGACAATGGCGTATATGTTGGCAGCTATTGTGGCGCACATTCCCATTGATGCCAATCCTTTCTTTTTGATCAGTATTACAGTTGTCACCAAATCGGGAACTAAATGGGCCATAAATATTATCCATTGTGTTAATTCAATTATTAATTACAATTTTTTTTATCTTATCCTCAATTACCTGCAGATCCGGCTGCCAATAGGGTCATACCGGAGATTGTTTGCGGAATAGCCAGTAGTTCACCTTAAAATTTGAATTAAAAAAAATAAATAATTAGTTAAACTAAATCATTCAAAAAATGTATATTTTTTTCAATTACTTAGCCCATCGACTGACCAAACGGTACAATAAGACAGTCCGGTTAGCCATCCAATAGAGACAGCAAATGTTAGGACTGGCCAACGCTTAGGCATTGTTAACCAGAAAATAAGATAAACTGGAGATAAGATCAATGAACAGAAACAGTTGTTCATAAAACAATTGTCATTGTCTTCATCGTCATCTTCACTCAATTGTAACTTTTTGTTGACAATCTCTTCGTAACCATTCCTATAATTCTTTGCATTCTTCCAGTCACACTTGTTATCACCGCAATTGGTGGCCATTTGTTCCAATATCATGAGAGACTTACTATCGAGCAATGGTGTGCTTTCGGCCCTCTCGATGGCCACCAATTTTTCGGTCGTGCGGTCATGAAGTCGGTCAGCAGAGTTCATCGACAACTTTGCGTTATATATCATAACTCCGACATACAGAGCAAACAGGAGTGTCAGTAGTGATGAATCAATTCTGTAGTCATTCATTAGGTTTGGTTTCAGATTATTAAATCAATTTTTTTTGGTTTCATTAAGCAATGGATTTTTGCTAATGAACTTCGCATTTACAACGCAATCACACTTACAGATCAACTCTATTATCTTTGATGACAAGAATCAGGACAACAATCGATAGGATATAGAAGAGTAAATCGCGAAGTATTGGCGAACTGTCCAATTTGAGCGGCTTTTTGATAAAATAGGCCACAGCCAGACCACAGGCAGCCGGAATGGCCAACATGTTGAAGACGGCGCCACCGATGATAGCTCCCGTACCGATGTCATTGTTAGTGAAAAAGACACTGATGGCCGATGAAAATATCTCGGGCCCCGATGTGCCGATCGGTATTAGTATAGGTCCGGAGATATCCGGTGGCAAATGAAATGCTAGAAATACAAATTTTTAAAAATCAGATATAGTATAAAATTGCTATTTATTTTTATTTATCCATACCTTTGCCTAAATGCTCGAGAGATGGTACAAAAAATTGGTCGCACAGGTATGCTATGGCCAGACAAGAGTATAGAAAAACTGATATCCGAAGTATTAGTTCACTACCAAATTGGACCTAAAGTTGGAGTGAATTTTTATATTATAGATTATTAGTATTATTATTGTTATTATCATTATTATCATCAACAGCATTGGTTTTTATCTTAAATAAATTAAATTTAGTATTTTTAATAATCAAATTGATAAGTTGAAATAAACAGATAAAAATTTAGTCAAAAAAAATGTTAATATTAGCTCTCATCAAACATTGCATTTTAAATAGCAATTAAATTAGTAATTATCACGACATTAAACAGTGTTTTACTTATAAGTAATACTTTGTATTCAATTGGAAATTATCAATATCTAAGTGCAATAACAACATCAATATATAGTAAAGATTAAATTTATATATAAAATATAGAAATTATGAATTAATTGAGAAAAACAAAACATTTGAAAAACATTTAAGTTATTAATTAACAAAATTATTAATTTTTATATTAAAATATTGATAGACTTGCAACAACCGGACGCTTGTTTAAGGCTCCGATGATATTTGGTTTACAAATCTATTATCTGATTTTTAGACAGCATTATCTAAAAGAGATAAAAAAACGGGAATAAAACAGAAAACATCATTCATTTCTGCATTTTTTTTGTGTGCAAATGAATATTATAATTATAAAACTAATATTTAATACATAAAAAACAAATTGTGTGTTTATAATTTGTTTTACAATAATTAACAACAAATAATTTTTTTTTAATAAAAATTATTTAATACAATCAATGGCTTATTATGCTTTATTTTATTTATTAATTGCGTTAATACAATAATATAGCTACATATAAAATTTATTATTTTTTATAGCTTGATGAATTATTATTTATAAAAATAATGTCATTAAAATACTATAAATAATTTGTTAACTAAATAAATTTATTCAAATATATGTGGTGTTAGGGGAAAGGGGGTAGACATACACACACACAGAGAGAGACATACAACACCTTACTTTATCAGAGGTGACGACACTGTCAGCGGTTAGATTAAGCCAATAGGTGTGGACACCAGAAGCCGAGTTATTGGCTTCGGGAACAACAGTTTCCGATCGGTTGTCTGCAGCGACAGTAATAGTAGTACTGTTGACAGTACTTAATAGTTGTTGATCAGTGAGTTTGAAAGAGTCACCATTCGTTAGGCTGTCCAATACGGTAATGACAAGCAGTGCTATCTTAATAACGAATAAAGGTTTTGCCATAACTTGGTTAACACCAAATTGTGAGTAAACTTGTTTTCGGCAAATATTCCCAATTTATATATCTCCCAATCCATGGGGGGAAAGACATATTTTTTGTTAGTGCCCCGTATTTGTCAGGCTGCCAATGCCTGGGCTCTGCCAATGGTATAGTATTATAGTAGTCATGATTAGATAACTTTGGTAAAACTATACCCATGTTATATGGATGGGTGAGGGGGTAGTTAAGTATACACGTGCTTAAGTAAGCACTATAGTGTTCACTCATCATCACTGTATAGACATCCAAGTCATATGACTTGATTATTAATAATATTTCAAATCAAATAATCAATAAAAACCTTATCAAACAATAATATAGTACTTGAGTTTACAATCGATGATTAATAAGTATATATATTGTATTTGAAATTATATGTCCCTATAATTTACAATTATAGTCCATAGCAACTCTTATAATAGATGGTAGAGTATATGTACTGTAATTGTAGAAATTGTTTGTAACAATTATATATTTTTCTTGGATCACTTATATTATGGAATCTTACCACACTTTTACCACTAAATATATATATACCAACAAAACAATACTTAACATTTATATCTAAACAGTTTCCATGATAATGGAAAGCCAGTCGTTTTGCAATCACGTATACCTACCTAAGCGCTCAAACTTAACGGTAGAAAACTTATTCAATTAAAAACACAATTAAATAGTGATAATAAAATAATAAAATTGTTTTTTTTATTGATAGAAAACATTTTTTTATTGATAGAAAACATTTTTTAAAAAATAATTTATGGAAAATTTCGCTGTATTATTACCAATTTTACTACTACTTTCTAATTTTTATTTGTTTGTTTATTAATTAAAATTCTAAAAAAAATTCTAAATAATCCCCAAGTAAACAAAGTAAAATGTAAACAAAAACAAAAAATATAGTTATAATAATGTATAATAACAATAATTGTACAAATATACTGGAAAACTTTTAAATTTATATATATATATATTTATATGTGATAATTGACAAAATTTGCATAAATGTTAAAATTTAAACTAATTAATAGCTATAAAAAATAGTAAAAATGTTGTTTGTGTGATGAGTTATAGCATTACAAAATAATGATAAGTTTTTATTTTTATTGACATAATTAATAAAATATATATATATTAAAGTTGACATAAATAAGTGTTTTATAAACACGTTTTATCATAAATGAGAAATTATCAGAATATCTTTAAAAATCAATTAATTGTTTTTAATTAACAAAAAATAACTCAACCTGGATCATTTAATTATATAATTGATAACAATTGATAACTGATTATTATAGCACAATGTTAATTAAGTTCAATGTTTTTTCTGAAACTAATTAAAAAATATGTTTTTTCACTTTCGGTAATATTTTGAACAATATATATATATATATTGTATATATATTTATTTATCAACTCGTGTGGAGACTTATTTGATATTCAATTATTATCTAATAATTGTTTTTTATTGTAAAAACAGACAATTTTAGATAATATAGTCTGAAATGCTAAATACAGTATAGATATTAAATATATATCCTTTTATGGTAGTGTTTAAATTATTATTAATAAAGAAAGATAAATAATAATTGAGATTAACTATTACTATTTTTTAATAATAATTTAGCACAAATATTTGCTATAAAGTTTAATAACAGAGACAAATTAATTGGCGACTTATAAAATATAAATATTATTATTATTATATTTATTATTATAATATATTGATATATTATACATATTAAATACTGTATAAATATCGATATAAAACAGTATATTAGTTAATTGATTTTTTTGTTGATTAATTAACTAATATTAAAAAGCTTTCAAAATAAGATAATTTTTTTAAAAAAAATTGTTATCTTAATTGTGGCAAATACTATAAAATAAAATATATAAAATAAATTATTATATACAATTAAATTATATACAATAGTTTTTAAAAAAATGATTGCCCAATAAAAAAAACTAAAAATAACATTGAAAATAGGAAAATTTTTTATAAATTATTTTTGTTGTTTTATTTTCAAAACATCATCATGTTTATTTACATTAAATTTGCTATAATATATTGAATTAATTTATATTAAACTAAAAATAAAAACAAAATTCAAATCAAATAATAAACAATTTTATAGAATAGTTAAAGATTATAATATTTTAAATAGTGATATAACTTAAGTTTATTTTACGAGTTAGTGATATAATTTAAAATATTTGTATAAAGTTTTGAATTGAATAATTATTAATAATATTGAAATCAATGTCTTTAAACTTTCAAATGTACTTTTAGACTATAAATATTAATAATTAATATTATTATAATATTGATAGTAAAGTGAATGAATTTTCCAGAAATAACATTTCCGAAAATTATTTGCAATAACATTCACAAATAAAAGATAGTTTTATCAAAAAATATATCTAATATTGTTTGTGTCAAAAGTCACATTATTGCACACTGATTAGGGGGATGCCCACCTACCCATTTGACATAATTGACTCTCAACGTGATCCCTGAGCCATATACTAAATGTTATTAAGCAATTATTAATTGCTAAATAAATTATTTACTGACATTTCATCAATATTTGCAATACATATACCAAAATATATCCGAGGGTTTAAAAGAGGCTTAAAAATCATTAAATTACTATTCATTCACATTTATACACTGTTTGTAATGACTGAAAATACATTATTATTTTTATGTGTTAAACATGTATTTACAATTATTGAGTTACGTTTTTTATAATAATTTTATATTTTATTAGATTTTTTTTAAAAAAAAAGTGGATTATATTTTATATACAGTATATTATGGTAAAATAGTAATCAATTCAATTCAGATTCTTTTTCTAATGTTAAAAAAGTAGTTAAATTAATTAGTGAACAAAAAAATCTCAATTGATATATAAAGACAATTGAAATTAAGTGAATAACTAATCTAATCTGTAATTAAATCTGTGACTACTTATGATTATTTAAAAATATTTGTCAAGTGATGTGTTTTTGTGTAGTCGTACAGCAAATAATCCAAAAGTCAAACAAAAAAAGCATATAAATTGTGGAGACATTCGCGACCAAGAAATACATTTCATTTTTGAATTGAAAAGTTTTACAGCAAATGGGAAAAGGCTTACTGATTGCTATAGGATTAACCCTAACTCTCTCATCATTGATTCCGGTGGACTCAATTGACCACAATATCGAGACAATTGATATCACTGTTGGATTGTCTTATATTAAACAACTACAACATCCCCGATGTAACTCATTAAATACAATACCAATCGATGACTTGTCTGTAGACTATAAAATAGTAAGTTTTTTCTAAAAATTATTTATACAATTTAATAATTAATTTTTTTGGAAATATATTAATATAATATAGTTGTCATCATTGGTCGGTTTAGTCGGCAATCTATTGATTTTCATCTACTGTTGTCTGGCCATTGGATCGCTTTGCGATAAACATTTTGTACCAAATCTAAGCGATTTGGGTGACTGTAAGTATTTGTTATATTAAATTTATAAAAAATTGTAAATTTTACAGTATTATATAAACTAACATTAAAGTCTAACAGTCAAATATATATATATATATTTATATCATCTGTTCATTCAATTAACGTAAACTAACAAATTTATTGTAATTAAAAACACAATAAAAAATATTTTTATATATTTTGGTTTTTTATTTTCATTTTACTTATAGAAAACATCGGAGCCTTAAACAAGCATCCGGTGCGGCACTAAATTAGACCGTAATCTCATAATTAATTATTTATGAGAATATAGTTTTTTTTATTAATTATCAATTTATACTCAATTTAAAATCTATAATATATATAAATGTTAATTAATACTTAAATTTATGATAAATAGCTCTATCGTTATCTCATGAGATAACTGCTACTCTATTGATACCATTTGGTACATCAGGACCTGAAATATTTTCATCAATAGTTGGCATACTATTCACTGATAATGACATCGGAACGGGAGCTATTATTGGCAGTTCATGCTATAACCAATTGGCCATTCCTGCCGTGTGTGGTCTCACGGTTGCCATATTTGTTGGCCGTCCCGTCAAATTGGACTCTGAACTCATACTTAAAGATTTATTCTTCTTTATTATATCAATCATTGGTCTGATATTCACCATCAAAGACAACAGAGTTGATATGTATGTTAAAAATTGTGTTTTTTAAAAATAATACATAAATTAATTAAAAAGTATCCTTATTTGATAGTATGGATGCAATTTTATTGCTGATTTTATTTGGATTATATATTTGCGTCAAAGTTGGCCAAACATCGGGAGAGCCGACGACAAACAATGAGGCAAATGTCGAGTCCTGTGAAGAACAAAGTAGTGGCAAAACTTGCGATGACATCAATGATGACAACAGTGAAGATTCGTTGGTTTTTAAATACTTAGATATTGTTTTACTGCCAATTAGTACACTGTTTGACATAACAATGCCGTCAAAGATGTCATCTCTTTACAAGTTCTTCATATCAATGATATGGTTGTCCACTCTGTCCTACTTTAGTGTCGTTTCCATCACTGATTTTAGTAAGTATTTGATTAGATTATATAATTTTAATATGATATTAATTTAAAAAACTTATTTATTAACCATTTTTTAGGCGAAACACTTTGTATACCGCATACTATCGCTGGTATGACTATATTGGCCGCTGGATCTGCTGTTCCAGATTTGGTCACATCAGTGATTGTAATCAAGCGAACGGGTAGAGCATCGATGGGCATATCCAGTGCCATATCTGCCAATATATTTGCCATTCTGTTGGGTTTAGGTCTTCCCTGGTTTATAAAGTGCACAATCAATGGTTTTTATACAACGAGTCCATCATTTGGCTTATACTCAAACTCTTTGCCATTCACATCATGTCTGCTATTGTTAACTGTCTTTGCATTGATATTGTCCCTAAAGATGAGTGATTGGCAACTCTTTCATAAGCTGTCATATCTTTGCGGATCAATTCACGCCTTGTTTCTGGTTCTGACAGTTGTTGTCGAGTATTTAGTTTAATTCAATTTATAATAATAATAATAATATGAATTGCTTTTTTATATTCAACTGAATATTTTATGAAATCTGATATATTTTATTTTATGTATAATTTTAATTACAAATTTTATTCCCTTTACGGTATTTTATTTATTAATAAAATTAGTTTTTAAATTCAAGTTTGAATAATGAAATATACGTAAAATGAATTTTTAATGTGATAGTATCAAAATAATTATTTTTTATATATGTATTAATAAATAATTGGCTTAAACTTTTATATGAAATTTTTTAATTTGAAATTAAAAATAGTGTTATAACTTATAAGTTATAACAAAAAAAATATTTTATTATATTTTCCGTACATTAAATTAGCATATTTTAGTATTTACATAAAATAAAATTAATTTCAAGAAATTTTTAGTTTTAAGTAAATATTGAAATTTTAATTATTATACAATTGCTTAAAGCATTTATGATTGTATTATTATTATTATTATAATTACCAGTAAATATCTGTGTAGATATAGCTATAATTTTGAATATTTATATAAATTAAGTCAATATCTTCATTGATACAGTAGTATAAACTTATTTGTTTCATAACATCATAACATAACAATAATAAATTAAAAAATAATGTACAAAAATTTTTGCCGAAAAAAACTTATATATCTATGATAAAGCTATTGCATGCTATGTTAACATCAGAATATTGTATTTATTTTAAAAATACTTTTATAAAATAATGTGCAAATAATAGTCGTACACAAAAAAAATATATTATTGACTCCTAAATTAAGTTTACATTTGCATTGACTCTACAATAAGGAGAATCGATATCTTAATAGTTATATTTCGCTAATTCAAGAATATTATTCTCTTTATTATTGCTAAGAATTGTTATTCATATCATTATATTATATAAAATAAATGTTTAAATTAAACGCAAGAATATTCATATATTGTGACAGTATTAAACATATATCATATTATTTATTATTTCATATTATATTAAAAATATACTATATATATATACCTGTATATAGTATTCAAAAATAAATCATTGTCTGCTTTTTTCTCATTATCATAATTTTATAAATATTTTATATGTGTGTTATTATTATTTATCCAATTTAATGATAGCCTTCCTAATTACGATTCGAGCACATAGTGTAAAATAATACAATTATTATACAATATAAAAAACAATAAGCAAAATGTCAACTAATGCACCGGTAGTTAGCGTAGAGACCACTAGTAGTAGTGGTGCACCGTCTGTGCCGTTATCACGGGATGAACAACAAGCTGATGATAGTAACGATGCTATAGTGCCGGCACCGACTACTGCTACTGCTACTACTGAAACTGATGATAATCAAGAAATAGTTGCCAACAGTGGTAATCATCGCAAGTTTAGCAACAGAGTGTTTCCTCAGAAGTTACCGCCGATTCCCAAAAGGTTTAAGAAAATGTCGGCTAAATCAAGCAAATCAGGTATTGTAATAGTAATGTAATTTAGTAATTATTTAAATGTTATCATAAATTATTGTGATATAAAAAGTAGTTAAGTTTTCATCAAAAGTCAAGACTCGGTCCATTATAACGAGCGAAGGCTTTCAAGTTGTTTGGCATAACCTGTCATTTATGGTCGAAAAGCCGTCATTTTTTGGCATCAGATGCGGCAAAAAATCAAAGTCGCCGTCAGTAAGAGTCATATTGAAATGTCTGAGCGGTTCGTTCAAGAGTTCAGAGCTGACAGCCGTTATGGGACCATCGGGTGCGGGAAAGTCTACACTACTATCGTGTGTCTGTGGCAAACAAAAACAGGGTGTTTCCGGTGATATACGTATTGTTGGCTGCGATCGCATCAAAGTTGCTATCATTTCACAGAACGACTACTTGACCGACAAGTTTACATTAAGAGAGGCTCTTCTGTTTGCGTCCAAAACGAAAAACACCGATAGAAAAGTAGATCACGAAGAAGTGGTCAACAATGTGGTCAATGCCTTGTCGTTAGAGTCTGTATTTGATACCCGATTGGGCCGATGCAGTGGAGGACAGAGACGGCGCGTATCAATAGCACTGGAACTGGTGTCCAATCCAAACATCCTGATTCTGGATGAGCCCACCTCCGGTTTGGATAGTGTTTCGTGTTTACAGATAATCGAAAATCTGCGCGATTTGACACAACACAAGAAAAATCCGATGGCCATTGTGGCCACAATACACCAGCCGAGCGCACGGGTGTTCAATATGTTTCACAATATATATGTCATCTCACACAACGGCCAATGCATATATCACGGACCTCCAGGTGCGCTACTTATCTAAAGAGTTCTTCAAATTATTATTATTATTATTATATAACACAATTTGTTATGCAGATAATCTGGTGCATCACATGTCATATGTGAATCTAACGGTTCCTCTCTATCATAATCCGGCCGACTATATAGTGGAGATAGCATCGGGTGAGCACGGGGAGGAAAGTATCACCCGTTTAGCCACTTATCGCAAAGAATCGTTAAATAGGGAGATAAACATTGATAATAATGTCGACGGACAGACTGTTTCGTCACATAAATTGTCGAAAATGTCGCAAAAATACAAGTTTCCTATACTATTGCACACTTACCTGTTGACCAAACGGTCGTTCTTATTGCTTATTCGTGAACCACATCTGTCATGGATCAGGTTCTCGATGGCCATCTCATCGTCACTGTTATTGAGTCTTATATTCAGTTCAGATGTCGATAGCGCCGAGGGCTGTCCGCCCCGTAAGGAAAAGCTATACAGCGATAATCCGACCAATATTTACACTAATTATGAAACACAACAAAAACTAATTGAATCAAATGTGGGCTCACTTTTCTTCAATACGGTATATCTATTGTACAATGGGGTACTTCCTATGCTTATGACATTTACCAATGAATTTAATTGTCTCACCAAACACTATACCAATGGCTGGTACTCTACTGTCACATATTTTATATCAAAATTAATTACGGATATACCTGTCATTATGATTTGTTAGTTATCATATAAAATTAGTATTTACTACTATTGTTATATATTATCTATGATTGTAGGCGTTTTCTTATACCTGTCCATTTGGTACTATCTGACTGATCAGATTGAAGAACTCTGGAGATATCTAATGGTTTTGGTAATCGGTATATTAGTGGTACTGAACGGTCAGAGTCAGGGCATGATCTGTAGCGCCATATTTTCAAGAGATCCCGTCAAAGCCTCCTACTTAAGTGATTATTAGAACCATAGGAATAGTAAATAAAAATTATGTTTTATCTGACATTTCTGGGCACAGGTATCATCACAACGACGCCATTCTTTCTAATGAGCGGTTATCTGGTGCGCACCCGACGTATGCCTCACTATTTGCGTCCACTGACATACCTGTCGTATACTAAATATGGTTTCGAGTCTTTTGTTATAACTTTGTACGGTTTCAACCGATGCTGGTATCCCGAGACCACAAACCAAACACTGGTACAGCCGTCGTGGCTCAGGTTCATGAAGGTTATGGTTGCATCAATTGGCGAACACAATGCAAACGATGAAGATCTTGATTTTGTTAACGAAGATGGAGATTCCGATGAGGACAGGGCTACCAACGATATATTGGCCATGTTTTCCGGTCAACGGGTCACCACAACCAGTGAGCATAAGTATCAATCGATGGTTATGTCACAGTTTGAGCTCAACGATGATATGCTTTTGTCAAACTTGATATCATTGTCTGTCTATACGATTGTGTATATGATTATCGCTTATTTTGTGTTATTACGACAATTACGGAAAAGTGCTTAAAATTAAAAACTAAATTAATTAAAATTAATTACAAAAATTTTATGTTTTTTTTGTTGTCAAACTAAAATTTAACTAAAATAATTAAATATAGTATAACTAACAGTTACAGCAATTAATTATAACAATTGTTATTATTATTAAATAATTAATTTTAAATTAAAATTGTATCTGGTGTATTTATACAATTATTCAATAAATGTTATAGTTTTTAAATATTACCGTAAATCGCCGGAACAGAGAACATGTCCTAAAATCGATTTTGGACAATTACTCAGTATCTATGGTCCTATGTAACGAGAAAATAGGACCTCCCGGTCCTATGTACTCGAAAATAGGACCCCCGGTCCTATTAAATGAATAAAACATATATATTTAAAACATTTATTAAAAATTAAGACAAAATTTAGGATAATTAATTAAATAATTAAAAAAACTGAAATATTATATAAAATTAATAAAACCGGTTATTAATACAATGGAAAAGTTATATAAGAAAGTTTTGAATTTATATTTGACTCGTTTTTGCCAATAAAATCCATCACATTTTGATGACCTGCTGTTTGAAGTAAATCTTTAAAAAATTGTTGTTTGACACCACTTCTGATCATATCTTTGACAGATTTAAACGCTGTTTTGTTTGCCAACCGATTGTCGGAAAAATTAATTAGACATAAGTCTATGCAATGGATGGCTAATAATATGTTGAGTTTTACTTTATCGGTACTCTCGGTAAACTCAAAATAAATACCATGATGAAAATAATAGGGAAATTTTGTTGGCATTGATTCGGGAAAATTGAACACCAATTTCGTGAATAAATTGGGAACAACCGGTTGAACGCTTGATTTACCAATTAATACCCGATTTCGATGTCCAACATATGCGCACAGTTTGTTAAATGTAATTCTGTTTCGGCTTTCAGTCTTTCCTTTATAAACATTTAATTTGATACCATTTGGTAGTAAATACTCCCTTAAAGAGAGACAATCACCAAAAAAAAGTTTTTTTACTCTAGAAGTGTATCCAAACAAATCAGTGGCAACTTTGACGATATCTTCATCTTTGATGTGAGCAAACAGCGGATTCAATGTAGAGCTGAGTAAACCTAGAGTTACTTTATATGTGGTAACAGATGAACCCATTGGTGCCATAGAATCGGTGTTGTGTTTCATCTGTGCTTTCAAGAGATCTAACTTTACTTCAACAATATGTAGTTTTTCTGCTGCGATTGCGTAACAGTTATGATTGTCGGGATTGCCAACCGGTTCTTTACATTGAATACACAAAAACAATGGACATGTAGTCAAATGTGTCAATCGATTGATAAGCGAAAATGTTTGGCCACATCCATAGTCACAGAAAACTTCAAGAGTTTCTATCAACTGTTCCAACGATAGATTAGGTATTCCTATCTCTTGTTCGAGCATTTCTTCAGCTGTTAGGAACCACTCAGTTACTACCGGTTGTCGACAAGTAGGACAAGTTTTTCAATGGCAAGTCTGGAACCACTGTTTGTGACATTCATAACATCCTATGTGTCCACACTTAAGAATACATGGATGAGTTGCAACTTCAAGACATATAGGACATCGAGCTATTGATGCTTGAAATTGGTTCACAAAGTTTATAGTTAACCGAGAAAAAACTTTCGGGACATTCATTGTCCCAATTATCTGATCCAACAACCGGTTACTAATACTTATACTAAACAAACAATGCATTCAACAGTTAGTACAGTATTATCAATGTATTATACAGTACAGTACAATAATTAAAATTGCATCAAGTTTAATTTAATTTTTAAAAAGCTTATAACTACATTATTAACTATAGGTCATATAATAATACTGTATATTATGTGAGTTAAGCCTTTTATAAATGTTTTTAATTTGAATGTAAACTAACTATACATAAATAACAGTATATTTAGCTTAAATTCAAATAAAAAACATTTATAAAAGGCTTAACTAACATAATATATAGTATTATAAAATGGCTTTTAGTTAATAATGGAGTTATATGATTTTAAAAATGTATTTTATAAAAAAATATATGTAAGTTTTATAAAACTTTTAATTCAAATTAATTTATTAAAATGTATTTTTAAACTGGTAAATTTAATAATAATTAAATTTATAATTTTATAATTATAAATATATTAACCGTATATCCAATATCATACCAGTTACAGTATTATAACATTTATACCCTAATAATTTTTTTAAATCTAGGTTTAAAACTAGATAAAAAATTAATTATTCACATACACATTGTATATTACCTATAATATATAACCGGATCAATTTTGAACACCAATTCAATCAAAATAACAGTTTTTTAAAAATAAATATTACCGGTAAACAAGTTTATTGAAAAATATATTTTTTATAATCCCGGTACTTCCGAATTTTAATTAGATGTAATCAAATAGTTTCTCATTGTCCTCATCAAGACTACCAACCGGTTGATTACTGGCCTCATATTCTTCATCAGTATTACCACAATGTTCTTCAATATCTATTGATGGATCGTTGATATTATATTCTTCAACAAATGTTTGATTTATAACTGCTTTCAATTTTGAGTTTAATAAATCATCATTTCTTATACGGCCTATATTGCACTCAATAAAACTTTTAATAATATATTTGTTATCCAATTGATCCCATCCTTCCTTACACCACTCGGCTATCAAATCATAAGACGGTTTTCTTATATTACCTTTCGGGGTAAAGTCTTCCGGTAACTTTTCCCGTCTCATCCATTCCTTCCATTTATTTGATATAAATGTTTTCACCGGTTTGTTCCACGAAACGTCTGCTGGTTGTATTAGAGGTGTCATTCCTCCCGGTATTATCAATACTTTTGTATCACAATTCATAGAATAATATTCTTTAACTTCCTCTCCTCTGTGACACATTGCTGCATCCATTACCAACAAATTTCGATGACAACCGGTTTTATTGTTGTGGATGTTTTCAAAAAACCCCCCGGGTCTTTTTTTAAACACTTCATCAACCCATTTAATCATTAATTCTCTGTTAATAGATCCAGATTCAGATACCATAATATGAATACCATCTAAGTTTTTGCAAACTTCCGGTATTTTTTTAAGATTTTTAAAAATTATAGTTGGTTTTAATTTACGACCGGTATTGTCGGCACACAATAACAAAGTGTATCGGGTTTTTTCATTACCAGTTGTCACAACTTTGACTGTTTTTTCACCGGTTTGATTATATGTATGATTACCGGGCATATCAAACCACATCGGGACCTCATCAAGATTAAAAATAATGCCATTAACCGGTTGTATATTATCTCTCCAATTGTCTACAGAAATAAAAAAATTTTCTGCTAATTCTTTGGCATTTTTTGGTACTTTTTGTCCAACAGATGTGTTGGTTCTATAAGATATTCTATTTCTCTTCAGAAACCGGGTCATCCAACCACTACTTGCCGTAAATTTATCTCTAATCGTGAGCCCATTTCGTACCATTTCATTGTATTTCAAAAGTGCTATAGTTTTTATGTCTTCAGCACTAACTGCCAAATCGTTAGCTCTTTGTTCCCGAAGATATTTCAACGCTGCTTCGTCTACCTCTGGATACTGCGGTTTCATTTGTTTCGGTAATTGTCTTCTACTCTCTGTTTGAATATTTTTATCTTTCACTTGATGTCTGAGTTGTTGTTCCTGTTCTTTCCAACGAATTATATTAGTTCTTGGGATTAGAGTTTCTTTCGATGTCTTTCTTATAGACCAACAATTATTTTGTCTAATATATCAATTTTTCGCGACAAACAATACGAACGTTTTTTTTACTGCCAATAGAAGTACCGATTGATGTTTCGGGTTTACCGGTTGACGATTCGGGTTTACCGATTGACGATTCGGGTATATCAGTTGACGATTCGGTTTTACCGATTGACGATTCGGGTATATCAGTTGACGATTCGGGTTTACCGGTTGATATACAGTCGGTGTTATGCGAAGATAAGGTTTTGTGAGAAATGGTAGGGATTTCATTATCTGTCACTATCGTACAGGTTGTTGTTTTTTTGACGGCATTACCGATATTTTGGTGTTTATTAGTTACCACTAATGGTTTACACTCTTCAGTGTCATCTGACATATCACTCAAGTCTTGAAATTTATAAGACATTGTTATTACCAATTATTTTTGTTTGTTGAACAACAAAAAAGTTTGTTAACACATTGCTTAACAAATAAGCTTTTAATGTATTATATTAAAACAGGAAATGATTTTTTTAAATTTTATTTATAAAAAATACTAATAGATGTCAATATAACAAATACTTCCTGTAAATCATAAGTGGTCCTAAGTTAGTTAACTTAAAAAACAACCGGTTACCATGTCCTATGATCTCAGATCATAGGACATCTTTCACTTTATAGGACAGTGTCTTCTGTTCCGGCGATTTACGGTAAACATTTTGTGCCTTTCAATTAGTGAATAACTTTCAAATGAAAAGCAATTTTCAAATGATTTGAAATTTGTTGTTAAAATAATAAACAAAAAAACACTTTTGAGTAATAATTATTATTAAATTAAATATTTAAATTAATAAACGCTAATACAGTAAATATTGTAAATTTATATTGTAATTTATATTTTAAACACTATATTTAAAAAACAATATATAATAATACTGATTAATAATTACCGGTATATAAAAATTATCACATAGTAGTCACATATCATAAACACTAAAAAATTTATATTTAAAATTAATGATTATATATATAATTATCTAAATAATTATAACTCGGATTTGATATCATGTATAGGATTAACGGCTTTTCTATTTTGTAGGTTTTGTCGCATGTCTTCAATGGTGTACTGGTTTTCCACGAGAAAGGCTTCACTGAATCGATAGAAACGCTGGAAATATGTTTTCGTAAGATTATCGTCGGTCTTGGCTTTGGTGATGAACTCATCCCACGATTTGGTTGACAGTGACTCCAATTGATAGCTCTGTTTAGCCGAATAGCCGAACGACCACTTCGGCAATACTTTGCGGCCTTCGATGTTATCTTCGGTAACATTCGAGTAATACATCGTAAAGTCTATCGGCTCTCCCTTATCATATGATACGAAAAATATGAAAATTCATATATATTTTAATGTAATGCACTTTACATACCTTATTATCTAATGTGAAGAGTCTATAGCCCGGGTTGAGGGCGGAATAAGTGGTGAGACTGGAGCCGAGGTAGGCGTGTGAGACGGCATACGGTTTGTTGTCTTTATCTATGTTGTAGAGCACTAGTATCTCATCTTTGTGTGTGTGACCAAAATAGGTGCCCACAATCAAGTGTTGGTACCGTTCCATTATACGATAATAGTTATTTGTCCATGCTACATAACATTCATTCGGTGGTATATGTCCTAATTGGGTGATACATTTCAAATGTAGTTTCAAGTGTAGTCATAACACACACAAACATTTAGATAATTCAATATCTATTACATACCTATAATCATAGCATACTGTCCCTGTGTTTCTGCACTATCCAACTCGTCAATAAGCCATTGGATCTGTCCATCAGGATCGACCGGATCATAGCCGACCCAATAGTTGCCTCTCTGGGCCATTGCATTGTTCAATGCTATCACCTTCAATGCCTCATTAACCTGTGCTGAATAATAGCCACCCTTTTTAAAGGTTCGTTTGGCTGCTTCTGTGTTAATCCATTTCGACCAATAGTTATCTGCCAGTGTGTCGTACAACCAACTCATTGAAAATGTTCCGTTAGATATGGCTGACACTTCAGTGGGGATATACCTAAACATTTTATAATAAGATATAATCAAATAAAATCATGTGACTAATGCTATTATATGACATACATATTGATTGGATGTGTCTCGTGATTACCCAAACAGGGAAACACCATTTTATCGCTAAACGAAGATTTAATAGCATTAGTCATGGCGTCAATATGCAAAAGATTGACTGTTTGGGTGGTATTCCACACGTCATGCGGTATATTATCGCCCGTCCAGATGACAAAATCAAGGTCTTGGTGTTTGCGGGCCATGTCTTCAATGGACGATTCAGCAAACGATATGGGAGTATCACAGTTGTGCAGACACTGTGACCAATAGCCGGCCGAACTGTTGTGTCCGTAAGACGTCGACCGACAACATAGGGGTTCGTTGCACATGGAGTTCGAGCCGGGAGTGTACCACAAGTCCAGATGAGCGTCAGTCACGTGAATCATTTTGAGCTCTTCCTTCGGACCAGTCTTAGGAGTGAACGGTTTCTTTGGTGGCAATGGTAACTCCCATATCAACTATAAAAAATAATAATAATAAATGTTAAATAAATGTTTATTTCATTAATGAAAAAATCTTCATACTTTCGGACTCATCGGTTGTTTCAATTGAGTCATACAGTCTGGATGTAACAGTGCTCCGCACATCTCGGGTGTCGTTAGTTTTGTGTGTTGAAAGATAAAGGCCAACGAATCGGACATTAGGTTTAGTACACCACTGCACACCCGTTGTGATTGTTTGACATTTTTGCAGGCGCTGCCCGACACCAACCTAATTATGCCGCCATCCTTGATGAGTATACGGGCGTAAGTCAAGGATACGTTACATCCGCTACAGGAATCACTATCATGAGCACCGTTATTGATATCGTCCATCAATTTGGTAAACATCTATAAAAATATATATATATAATGCTATCAATGATTGTGATATAATCTTATTGAAACAATCCATACTTTTCCCAAATCATCCAAATTGATTGTACCCAAAGATTCATCCCTGAGTTGTTCATTTGTTTTGTACAACAGTGCCCGATCTAACAGTGCAATCAAAATTAACATTTAATTATAGTTTTACATTGAATAATAATAATGATAAATACAAACCATCTTCTGTATGAATATATGAAATGAGACAAAAAACAAAAATAACTAAATATCTGATATATGAAGTCATGATTAGCCTTAAAAAAATGATGACTGACTGACAAAATAATTTGATATTTTGCTGCCTTTTTATGCTTTTTTTTGAACAATTGCTGAATTTTTTTATCACAATTTCAATCATAGGATTTGAAAAAAATTCTTTCATTTAAATTAAACATTTACTGTATTGTCAAACTTTGATCTTTTAGTACATTTTTTTGCTTGTTTTACTACAAATGGATTAACAGTGATTATATATAGATTGTTAATATCAGGTATTTATTTGATTATTGATTAAATTATGAAAAAACATTGTTTCACAACATTATACATAACATCATTGATAACTAAATTCTTAGCATTTATTCTTAAGAAATATTATATCTTTAAAATGTTATATTAAATAAATTTTTGTTTATAAAATTGTTAATAAAATCATTTAAATAATCATTTAAGTATTTTTACTAAATTCTGTATAACAAATAATAATTGAATTTATCATAATTTTTAAAAATCATTGTTATGTTTACTTTAATGTAGTAATGTTTATATCACAATTAAAATTTGTTAATGAACTATACTGTAAGTACATTAGACTTAAATATCAACATTAGATTATTAGTACATACATACATAGATATTCCTCAAATAAATGATAAACTTTGAAATTAGGATTTAAAATTAAAATACATATTAGTATAGTTACTCACTTATGTTTATTTATCACTTATGTTATTAAATTTGTTGTTTTGATAACAGCAAAAAAAATCTAAATTTATTAGATTATAATATTAATTAATTAAATATAATATCATATATATAGATATAGATATATTTATTGTAACTATTAATTATTTTTAATTATTTTTTATATTAATTAACATTTTCAACAATTAATTAGACTTATAAGACAGTATAAAACTATGAGCATAACTGAATTTTATAAAATATTGAAATAATGAATAATGAAAATAAAAATTAATTTTTATGTTAAAAATATATAATAAATTTTTATAAATTCTAAATTGATATTTAGTTTATATTATTTTTGACTAATTTCACTAAAAATATATTGATACATTAGAAATAGACTATTATTATTATTATTATTATTTGACATTTATATATAAATATATTTTTTAGATAATTAGATAAGCTTAAGTAATTTTATTTGTAAATGTAGTTTAAAAATACTTCCTAAATCACTTTACGGTATAGTCTACTAAAACATCAAATACAAGTGTTTATACGATTTTCTAAATTGAATTGCTATGTATTGACATTTTAATACTGTAAATGGATTTATAAGTTTTACATGAATCTTAACTAATGATTTTTTACCATTACTTAGAAATTGTAAGTTATAATTCAGAAATAATGCTTTTATTGCTATTTTAATTTTTGTTTCTTCAAAATACTTAATTCTAGACTAAATCCTAAAATATTGAATTATCAGACAACAAATGTTTTATTTTCAATACAATATAAATGATGAATATTAAATAAATTTTCTATTTAATATTTATTATAAATAGTTATTATTATAGTAATGACAGTATCTCTAATGTGACAATTTAATGTTTTAGTTAAATTTTATTATAAATTTAAATTACACATTTATTTCTATGATTACTGTATTTCTATTGTATTTTATTCAACTAATAGTAAATTTTACCATTACTTGATGTCATTGCATTCATCGTACTGAATAATAAAGTATAAAAAAATTATTTATCATATAATAACAACAAAAACTGATATCTTATTTATAATATGATTTTAAGGTGCTGTGCAAATGCAATATAAATCTATTTGATTTAAAATTCAAAAAAAAATCAAAAAACGAATTATTATATAATAAAATAAATATGTATTTAATTTAATTTATAAATTATATTATTATAATATTAATACAATCTGTATATATCTGAAATTTTGATTTAATAATAATCCAAATATATATAAATTCAAATCATTTATTATTACAATTATTATTATTATGTGTTATGTGTTGTATGTGTTTATTTTCTTAATATTTTATAAAAATTTTGATTTGTAGACAAAATAAATATTAGACTATATCAATAAGTTTCAAAATGTAAAAACTATTGAACGACAAACAGTGTCTTCAATAATGTTGTCAAAAAAATTTTGCGGTTCAACTGTTTTGTGTCACAAGTTTTTTGTTATTATAAAACTTTTTTTATATAACTTAAAGAATATGTACTTTATATTTTTGATATAGCTATAAATAAACATTGAATTTATTATTTGAAAAAAATTATAGGACACACACACACATACACACAATAGACAAAATTCTGTATTATTTGTATTTTATTAAATTTTCATCTGAAAAGACATCAAATATTTTCTGAATATCTTTATATATATTTAACACATATATAGTATTTATTTTATACAAGTTTTTCTTTACTATTATCTCAACAGTTGTGAGCAATGTATTCATATTATAATTTGTGATTGACATCTGCTATCACTACGTATTATTATTTTGCTAAATGTTATTCAATACAAATGTATTGTATAAACTTGTAAATTAAATATTAATTTAAAAAATAATAAGTATATAACAATAAATTTATTCAATTTGAATGCATATCAATTTTTTAAAATTTATCAAACTTAATATTATTAAAATTATCATAAATCTTATTTTAGATCAATTTCAAGGATATATTAATTTCTCAAAAATGATAATTTGAAAGTTAATTCAACTGTTTTTTTTTAAATAACTATATTTAAAAGCTTTAAAAATATCAATTTATAATTTATGATTTTTTTTTGTTTTCTAAATATTTTTTGTTTTGAAAATATAATATTTAGCATAAATATTTTATTGTATTTGAAGCGTTAAGTTATAAATTAGGGAAACTTACACTTAAAATATTACTGATATGCATTTTTTCTGTATATATTACAGTTTACAAAAAAAGGTTATTTAAAAATATATATATAATTTTCTCAATTTATTTCGGATACACAGCTATAGTCTAGATTCTTGAATAAATATTATTATAAATTTATGTAAATTACACCAAAATTGTAAACTTAAAAAATAATTTGCATTTAAGTATATTATAGTTTCACTAAATGAAATAAATATACATATTATTATTATTATTATATGAATTTGATATTTGAATATTTTAATAAATATTTATCAAATCTAACTCATTTGATTAATATGACTATTATACATTTGGTAAAATGTGAAAACATTATATTATATACAGTATATTAGATAATGATGATTTTGTTATACACTATATTAGTGAATAAATGCTATTATAAGTAATGTTTCTAATGGCAAAAAAAAATATCATACAATTAGACATAACTTGTTGTTTTGAAAGACAATTATTATTGTATTTATATCATATAAAACAAGTCACTAATGATTGTAAATGACAAATTCAATACACACTGTTTGTTTTAACACTAATTTTATATAACATTTTTATGTTATTTGATGATAATAAACAGAAACAATTATTATTATTATTACTATATACTATATAAATATAGAGTAAATATATAGAGTATTATTTGATAATAATTATATTCATTTTATTGTATGTAAAAGTAGTTTTATGAAAGCGAAAATTGTGATCATTAAAAGCTAAAAGTGATAAAAACATCTATTTTTAGCACTAATTTCTAGTCTATATAATAATAATAATAATAATAATAATAATAATAATAATAATAATAATATGTTAAATAAATATAATAATAATATTATTATTATATTTTACGGCATTCATTGAAGACAAATTGAAAGCCAACAACAAAATAAAATAAATTTTATTTTATTTGACAAATATTTTCACTCATTAGCTCACAAACTATTGATTAAGTTATAAAAGTTTAATATAGACATAAAATTTTATAGTATAATATTAGAAAATAAATAAATAAAAAGAAATATAAATATAATGCCTTAGGTTTAATATTAAAATTTCAGATATAATAATAATAATAAAATAAATTTTATTTTACATAACTTTCAAACAAAATAAATATTTGAAATAATTTATAAATATAAAAATAAATTTAACGAATATAACTTCAGATAAAATATAAATAAGACATTATTAGATATTAACAATAAAAACGTTGTGTAATAATTGTGAACCATATTTTATTATCATCCAAATAGAAATGTTTGTTATAAAACTAAGATAAGTTAGGTATTTAGGTATAACTAGAGGTAGTCTACAAATTATGAATATTTAAAAAAAAAATGTTTACCATTTAATATCCGGAATATGTAAATGATTTTCTGACAAACCATAAAACCGTTAGTACAGTATAAACGGGATTTAAAGTGCTTATGTAGTACATGATTATCCATACTTTTAAATTGTGTGACAAATAAAAACAAGATTTTATTTACTATTGAAAAAAATAACACGTATAATATATTTATATGATAATCATAGACATCATATTATTAATTTCGTAATACTTAATAATAATTTATAATATTTATTTAGCAATAAATTTATGGAAAAATTCTACACTATTATGTACTATATGTTGAATTATTATTACTATTAATATGTCGTTTAGATTTTTATTAGAAGATTCCGATTGTGAAAATTTATGTAATGTATAAAAAATGATGAGCTCTGGTGAGTAAAAAATTGTTATGAAAATGGGAGGCATTTATTTTCATCCTTTTTTACACATATAGAGTATATAATTTATATATATAGAGTATTATTTTGATTATAATTTAATGACAAGCAATTTTTTAATTGGATTCAATATATATATATATATTAAAATTAACATAATATATTTTTTTATCAAGTTCATTTTTCAAACAATTAATAGAATTATTTTCATTGTAATTACTTTCAGTAAATATAATAGATTTATAATAAGTTTTAATTAGAGAGTTAATAACAGCCAAAATACTTATTAACTGTTATTAACATTTTATATTTTTTTATTGATATTATAATAAATATCATTATTACTACAGTTTAAAATTACATATTATTATAATTATGTTAATCGATAATATTAAGTT